GATTAATCATCTGGTTTAGAATGAAAGAGCCAACTATCAACACACATAGAAAAACAACACAATTCCAACATTTGTAAGGTGGATTAGTCACCTGCAACAAAATCACTCCAATGCTTGAATTCACTTAAAAAAATCAATTTAAAAAAATCGTAATAGGAAAAATCATATTACCTTTGAAAAACAGAGAAACCAATAACTATGAATTAACAGGAATTGAACATATGATCAAGCACCTTTCAATTTAGTTCCCAAGTCTCTTGATTAGTGTATATCATGACTTGTGAGTTCACATGTTGCTGCTTAATGAATATGGATATGAATTGTATTGGGAAAAAAAAAATGAATATGAATTGCTAAGTATAACTCTTCTTTCTTTTCTTTTTTCAATTCAGCACGAAGAATTTAACAATTTAGATAATACATGAAAACAAATGAAAATAAATAATTACATCTCATTTGGAATCCCATTACATGCAGGCTCATGGAAAAAAGCTTTGCCCAATTAATTATTATACAACAATTTACTCAAAATTCTCACTATCATTGTTTTTCTTCAATATACTCGTCATAATAAAAGAATGCGTAGTGAGAAACCCAATAAAAAAATCTAAATACAAAGATGTTACCTTCTGCAATATCATGGACAATTGCCACTTTTATACGCTTGAAATTTGAAGGAAAAAACAAATTTAAAAGTCAAAGTCAAAATATATCACTCTAATCGAGTGCCAAGGATTCACAAAAAACAAAACAACTAAATGAGATCAAACAATTTATGTGTAATAAATTTTTATATTACAATTTATTAGGTAGTGCCTAATGAAATGATTAGAAGGCTTTTTTAAATCCAACAATTAGAAGGCTTAACCATAAAGTGAAAATTACTACCACCACCTCAATAAGATAAAAAAAAATGGAATGATTGAAGAGATCGTACTTGAGTGCTCAAAGTTGTGATTTAAAACATTCCCTACAAAAATCATGCACGTTGTGTAAAAAAAACTTGATTGTGTTACTTTTTTTAAAAAAACATGGAGTGCCATAGGCACATGTGGTTCTTTTACAATGAAATGTGGTTATTTTACGATGAAATCATGAAACTGTCCTATTTATACTCAAAAGACAGTATAAGTTGATTTTACTATTACCCAATGTTGTCAATTTAACTGAATTGAATCAATCTGACAAAGACACGAGTTATTGCACATTGTTTTTCTATGCGTTTTGTTAGTTTCTTTAGACCAAGAATCAAACTATCTAATTCAAGCAATTAATCAAAACCATACAATAATATAAAATTCTAAACATGTCAATATCAATAATATAAAATTTAAACTAAAGATGCACTGTTTTATGTCAATATCAATAACCTGAGGGGACAGTTGGGACACGTGGCTGTCTGGTTCCTAAGGAAGTTGGGGTTAACGAAGGGGCTCTGATGTTCGACAGAGAGAATGTCAACGAAGAGGGGAGGTCAAGCGTTGGGCATGAGTGTAATGAACATGGGCCTATTGTTCTGGGCTCCAGATCTCGAAAGGCCATTTTAGGTGAAGATGGGCTGTTGGATGAGCTTCGGCCCAGGTCAGGTTTGGGCCTTTCTCTTGCACCAATTGCAAACCAGGTTCGTGAAGAGGAGAATTTTGATTTGGGCCTTATGAGCTCTAGTCATTTGGGTCAAGAAGTGAAGCATGTGAATGATAGCCCGCTGGGTAACAAACAACCAAGTTATATGTTGAATCATGATGGGCTGAAATCAGTCCAAATGGGTATTTCTATTACTAGTTCGGATCTAGGGCTTTGTCAGGTAAAGGAGACGATGGGTGTTCTCGATAGGGTGAATGATTGTATACAGACAGCGACCCAGGTGGACGATAGGGATGAAGGTAACGACAGTCTACGACAGCAGGATGTGGAGATTGGGGCTGATCAGGTTCCGACTACACTGGTTGGGTTAAACCCAAACAAAATTCAACTGGGTTTGGCCGATGTGGTCAATTGCTCCACAGGTCAGCTTCTTCGGATTGAGCGACCCACTGATGTTAATGATTTGGCTGAAGATGAGGACTTAGCGATCGAATTTTTACCTGATGTTGACAAAATGATTCATGAAGTGGAAGGGGGCATCTGCGATCCACAAGGGGTGCTCCAAGCATTGGAAGAATATGGCTCTCAAGATAGTTCTGATGAATCTTTGGGTCCAAATGAGGAAGCTGAGGATTATTCGAAGGAGGAGAGGGCTGAGGATTTCGACTTGAATCTCACTGGGTTATATCATGAAGAGGAGGTACCAGTTTCTTCTTGTATTAAGCACACTGGGGATCTGAGGGTGAGGCAGTCTTCAATTCTTGTGAACAGGTTAGTGAATATACCGGGATCAGCTCAATTGAATATACATTTACCACCTATTTACCTAAAAAGAGTATAATTATACAGAGATTCCACTCTAACAAAAGCCAGAACAAAGCTGGAAAAATAGTAAAATCAAAACCATGATCATAGTAAATTCTTCACTTCATCCTCATATTCAGAGTCCTCATTCTGTGTCAATTAGAGGGGCGAGGGAGGAAGGGGAGTCAGTATTGGGTCCTTGTTTCTTACAAGCTTCCAGAAAGGTTTCTAACAAGAATGATAATTTGCCTTTGTTACATGAGAATAGGACCTCTACCAGTGGCAGTTCGAACCCACAGCTAAATAATATGTACACTAATAGGACTGATCTTTGGAGGGAGAAGTCTCCTAATCATAGGTTTCAAAGGAACACTGTTAGTGGCAACGATGGTTCTGAGTCTGAAAGGTGGTTGAGGGAAATGAGTAAGTATGTGTCTTTTCCTTTGGAGGAGGAGGATGTCCCTCATTTTACACAGTTACTTGAGACTCTTGGGTTGGCACTGGGAAGGAATACTGGAAAGAAGTCTCGGGCTAAGAGGGTGGGGATTCTATCTGGGGGGATGGAAATCAAAGCGGTGCGGGATTAAGGAAAGGGTTGAGGGAATTAAGAAACCTTGCAAGTGGCATCAATTACGAGGGGTGGGGAAAAGAGGTAAGGAGTGATGATGGTTCCCAATGAAGATCTTTAGTTGGAATGTTTGAGGACTACGGTCTCGTAGGAAAAGGGCGGTAGTTAAAGAGGTTTTGAAAATTCAACAACCAGATATAGTTATATTTCAAGAGACAAAGTATGAGGAGTGTGATAGGATTTTTATTAGAAGTGTTTGGGGAACTCAATTTAGGAGATGGGCTGTACTGCCTTCTAGGGGAAGATCAGGGGAGTGTTGCTTATGTGGGATGAGAGAGTTGTAGTGGAGTGTGAGGTAGTTGTTGGGGTATTTTCTTTGTCTATTAGGTTCAGGAATAGGGATAATAAGGAATGGTGGTTAACAGGGGTGCATGGTCCTAATAGATCAGGGGGATCGACGGGAGTGGTGGGATGAGTTGGTGGGATTATTTGGGCTTTGTTCTCCTTATTGGTGTGTGGGTGGGGATTTTAATGTGGTTAGGCAAGTTTTCGAAAAATTAAATGGGGTTTCTACAAATAGGAGTATGCGGGACTTTGATTCTTTAATCAGGGAGTGTGAGTTGATTGATCTTCCTCTGAGTAATGTGCGATTCACATGGTCTAATCTGCAGGAAAATCGGGTGTGTTGTAGGTTGGATAGGTTTCTTCATACTTTGGGGTGAGAGGAGTTGTTTCCGGATGTAAGGCAAGAGGTAGGGCCCAGAGTGGTGTCAAATCATTGTCCTGTGATTCTAGAGAGCTGTTATTTTAAATGGGGTCCAACCCCATTCAGGTTCGAGAATATGTGGTTGGAAAATCGTGCTTTCAAGGCATTCTTTAAGGAATGGTGGGAAAATGCTCATGTCCATAGGTGGGAGGGTTTTAAGTTTATGCGAAGGTTGAGAGGAGTCAAGGAAAATCTTAAAATTTGGAAACGTGAAGTTTTTGGGGATACGGGTGAGATGAAAGCAGAACTAGTTCGGGAGATTGGGGAGTTAGATGTGAAGGAGGCCGGGGAGGGCTTATCTCAAACGTTAAGGTATAGGAGGTCAATGCTAAGAATGAAGTTGGAGGAGATCATTTTTAGGGAGCAAATTTTTTAGGGTCAAAGAGCAAAGTTGAAATGGGCTAGAGAGGGTGATGCCAACTCTAGATTTTATCGTAGAGTTGCGCTGGAAAGCGGAAGGAGAGTTTTATTAAGAATTTGGAAGTGGCTTCAGGTGAAGTCGTGTGTAAGGAGGAGCTTATTGTCAAGGAAATTTTTAATTTTTAATCAAATCTATACTCTGATGGGGGTGTGGATCGTCCAGGGATTGAAGGCATTAACTGGGTCCCAGTGGATTTAGCGTCTGCAAGTTGGCTGGAAAGACTCTTCGATGAAGATGAGGTGAGACAGGCTGTATTTGAGTACGACAGAGACAAGGCTCCTGGCCCAGATGGTTTTTCAATGGCAGTATTTTAGGATTGTTAGAAAATTGTAAAAATGGATCTTATGAGGGTTTTTTTTCTGAGTTTTTTTAGAGTCGGCAGGTTAATTTGTGCACCAATGCATCCTTCATTTGTCTAATTCCCAAGAAGGAGAAGTCAATTAAGAATGGAGATTTTAGACCCATTAGCTTGGTCACATCTCTTTATAAGATTTTAGCTAAAGGACTTTCTAGAAGGCTAAGAGTTGTCCGGGAGGGAACTATTTCTTCGGCACAAGGTGCATTCGTGCAGGGTCGGCAGATTTTGAATGTAGTTTTAGTGGCTAACGAGGTTGTGGAGGAGTATAGAGGGGACTATGTAAGGAGGGTATTGTATTTAAGGAAGATTTTGAAAAGGCATATGACTATGTGGATAAGGGTTTTGGGGATTTTGAGAAGGCATATGACCATGTTGATTAGGCATATGAAAAAATCCACAAAACCCTAATCAACATGGTCATATGCCTTCTCAAAATCTACCGGGATCAGCTCAATTGAATATACATTTACCACCTATTTACCTAAAAAGAGTATAATTATACAGAGATTCCACTCTAACAAAAGCCAGAACAAAGCTGGAAAAATAGTAAAATCAAAACCATGATCATAGTAATGTACACCTTATCCAATAGCCTTTCCCATGCTTTTTTCCTTGTTTTGTTTACCATATAAAAATAAAATTGAAAACAAAAACCTAAATAATGTAGAAAACTATCAATGACTTATTGTTCTTTGGACTCCATCTCCCTTACACTGTCTACTATGCCTTGGATCTTCTTTGAGAGACTCTGATTGTGCTCTTCAATGTGCTCAAAGACCATCTCCAAGTGCCTTTTATATGTTGCAGCTCGCTTTTTCTCAATGGCCAGCTGTTGGGACAGTTGCCGAATTTTATTGCGTTCATTCTGTAAAACAAGATGCACAAGAAAGTAAGATGCAATACAAATATAGGCCAACAATATTGATTGACGTTATTGCAATTGAAGAGCAAACCTAGATTAAACAAAGAATTTAATTCCTCCTTGCCATTCAACATGAGATTATTTAACACTTGGGAATTTCATTCAGATAATGACAAATTAGGAGGTTATTAAATAGTATAAGTTTTTCTCTCATAGATTATTATTGTTATTTATTTTAATTTTTTTTACATAGAGTAGCTTCTTGACTTGTTTGTTGCTTGTATTTTATTTAGTGCATCTTCACAGAAGATACTGGCCTTAAAAGAAACTTTGCATGAGCTTACCCAGGTTTCCCCCAGTTCTTTATGTTAGTGCATCCAAACTTTCAATTCTTTATGTTGTTTTGATTTTTAATGGACCGCATAAACTCAACACAATTTTAAATTGATCAGATAATAAAACACAATCTTGCTAGGCCTAGTGGAGAGGTTTCCATCCTATTCAGTCACTAACAATGAACTTTATGATTGAAAAACTTTGAATTTTTCTTCTTGCATTTTTCAATTTTTTAAAACTACAGTGACTTTCCCCACCCATACGAAATTCCACTTACAAAATTTACCAAAAAATTCCAGATATTGTGTTCAGAAAAGCATATGAAAATATAAATCACAATCGAAAGTTGGAGTTCTATCTTGCTCCCACCAACCAGATAGAGTAAATACATTCAAATTCCTAGGAACCACAAATTTCCAAGCAAAAACAAAAAATGAATTGAGCAAAAACATTATGAGACAGAGAGGGAAAATAAAGCTTAGCAAATCAAGAAAATATAGATTTATAAGACCTCAAAGAATTATCATATGAGATTGGTGCAAACAAAAACACAAAGTTGGACTCGTATAAACCCTAATAACCTCAAATTATATAAGACCCACAAGCATTACCAAGCCAAACGACAAGTTTTACATGAATAGCCCAACCAATCACCATATTTGGTTGTTCATCTTTTATCTGTATTTATTGATAATATATTTTAAGGTCTGGCAAATTAGAAAACCAAATAAATTGAAAACCAAAACTAGAATTACAAATCCTTGTGCCCCCATTCTTAAACTTGGTTGTCATTGCCTATTGGTAAATGTGAACGGGACAAATCTTTCAGTACATAAGGTCAAGAGGATATGCCTCATGGTAAGGTGTACACATGCCAGACCTCTTGAGTCTACGGAAGCCAACTCAACCACTAATATGCATTACGGGACCAAAATATCCAAAGCCACTTGCCAACAAACTTCCTTTTATTCCGAAACCCATTGGGAATCCAAATGCCTAAACTGATATCCCACAAGGTCACATAAGATATACTAGGATTGTTTGAAATGAAGAGACGACACTTGATTTGAAGAACTAAGAAACCATATCCACAAAATGACTCCATGCAATACCTAGTCCCTTCACCACTAGAGAAACGGTTACCTGGCCATCTTGCCCAACCAAGCGATTGAGACCTCTCTACTCATTACTCATAAGTTCATGGTTTAAAATTTTAAATAGAAAACAAATAGGACAAGAAATAGTAGAGAAATAGAGCAAGGAAAGGAAACATCTAAATAACAAGAGGATTCACATACTAAAAATAGAATACTAAAGAAAATTAAAATTGGACCAACATTCATAATTCCCTGTTAAGGAAGAATGGATGTTGTATAACTACTACTACTTGTTACCTACTCAAAAAAATAATGGATTGACTTGCTAGCAAGGTGCCTACCGTTTTACCGCAGAGATAGTTTTCTTCAAGGTTTCCATGTAAATCTGTGAGTTCCTGTGGTAATTGGTTTTTTTTTTTGTAACAGACCTGTAGTAGTTGGTTTAATTGCTTTATTTTATTTTCCGCAGATTATTTTTTTATTCTGTGGATTTTGATCATAGTTTGGGGCAACTCCCGCATCCAAACTTTCAATTCTTTATGTTGTTTTGATTTTTAATGGACCGCATAAACTCAACACAATTTTAAATTGATTAGATAACAAAACACAATCTTGCTAGGCCTAGTGGAGAGGTTTCCATCTTATTCAGTCACTAACTCTGAACTTTATGATTGAAAAACTTCGAATTTTTCTTCTTGCATTTTTCAATTTTTTAAAACTACAGTGACTTTCCCCGCCCATACAAAATTCCACTTACAAAATTTACCAAAAAATTCCAGATATTGTGTTCAGAAAAGCATATGAAAATATAAATCACAATCGAAAGTTGGAGTTCTATCTTGCTCCCACCAACCAGACAGAAGTAAATACATTCAAATTCCTAGGAACCACAAATTTCCAAGCAAAAACAAAAAATGAATTGAGCAAAAACATTATGAGACAGAGAGGGAAAATAAAGCTTAGCAAATAAATATAGATTTATAAGACCTCAAAGAATTATCATATGAGATTGGTGCAAACAAAAACACAAAGTTGGACTCGTATAAGCCCTAATAACCTCAAATTATATAAGACCCACAAGCACTACCAAGCCAAACGACAAGTTTTACATGAATAGCCCAACCAATCACCATATTTTTAACATATACACATCCGATCTTTAGGGTTTCACATTCAATGCTGTGCCATGAATTAATCAGAAAGACAAAAACAAAATTCCAGAATTTGTTATGTATCTTCAATCCATCTACAAAGAAACTTTCTTTCAAAGACACCATCTATGTCAATTGAGTACGAGAGGTGGAAATTTTCCGGGAATATATTTTCCTCAGAAACAAACAGACCTTGAATTAAAAAATCAGCTACCTTGCAATGAATTGAATCAATAAAAGAAAGAAACTTACTCAAAATTCGTAGCGATTTGGACGATCTACCTCTTAAGATCACAAAGAACAGAGAGGGATTGCTAAACTGATATCCCACAAGGTCACATAAGATATACTAGGATTGTTCGAAATGAAGAGACGACACTTGATTTGAAGAACTAAGAAACCATATCCACAAAATGACTCCATGCAATACCTAGTCCCCTCACCACTAGAGAAACGGTTACCTGGCCATCTTGCCCAACCAAGCGATTGAGACCTCTCTACTCATTACTCATAAGTTCATGGTTTAAAATTTAAAATAGAAAACAAATAGGACAAGAAATAGTAGAGAAATAGAGCAAGGAAAGGAAACATCTAAATAACACGAGGATTCACATACTAAAAATAGAATACTAAAGAAAATTAAAATTGGACCAACATTCATAATTCCCTGTTAAGGAAGAATGGATGTTGTATAACTACTACTACTTGGAAAAAACATAACTTATTCCTCTTAGCATTAGTTTCATTACAAATATTTATATAACATTATCAAAAAAAAATTCTCAAAATATCAACTACTTTCTCATATCAATTTCAGGCTTCGCACTTTGATGGGTCTTAAAAACCTTTCAATGAGTACTGAAGTATACATGGGAACACATTTCTTTACAGAATAACACTGTTCTATATAACTACATATACGGTTTCAACCTACCTTAACTCCCAAACTTCCTAACATGAAAACCCAGGCACTTCAGAATGCCAAATCCCAACCCTGATCCAGCCTAGTTCCCACAATTCATGCTTCTACAAGCAATGCAAGAAGCTGATTCTAGGAGCTACTATTTCCACATACCACTTTCTCTCAATTCACACGCCAATTTTCTTCCATAAATCAATTTCAAAACGAAACTAAATGATTTCGAACCATGTAATTTTGTTCGGAAGTTGATATCCGAACCAAAAAAGTGTATGCACTGAGAAAAATTAGCGTGTGGAAATAGAAGCTCTCCAAATTTCATGGGCAGAAGCTTGCCCGGTTGGATACACAGGGACTTCCATGCAGATAGGTAGAGAAAGCAAATTGCCTTGAGATATTAAATTGGCCATGGATTGTCCACAGCTTGCCTGTTTATCATTTGCTGAAGGGCCTCATACCTTCTATAAATTAGGAAGCAACTAATCCATGATCTTGCCGAAAAAAAGAATAGAAAACACATACCTTGAAACATATAGGTAATTAGACACTTTTTTCCATGAGACCATTTGACAATTCCATTTTTTCTCTCCAGATTGCCAGTACTTCATCAGTTCTAAACCGCTGTGTGAATGTCGATTCCTCCAGCGGAGTTGACATCCCATTAGCATAAGCTAGGAGACCAGTATACGCAATCATTGCCCCATTATCAATACAGTACCTGTCATCAGTTGCAAACAACCTTCCACCCCTCTCGGAGCACATGATTCTCATCATCTCTTGCAAGCGCTCATTGCAGCCCACACCACCAACAATGAGAACATCTTTCTTGTCACAGTGTGCCATTGCCCATTCTGTAATCTCCACAAGCATCGGAAACACAGTTTCCTAAAACAATTTAAATTGAATGCAGAAATTGAGCCACAACTAGATCGTGTAAATATTTAACTAATACTTGCAATTTACAAGAAACAGCCATACCAAATTACCAACTACAAAACCTTTTTCTCACCACAAAATATTTTTTTTTTTTTTAAATATTGGAAGCATTCCAAATGATTACCTGAAGGGAATAGCACAAATCTGCAGGGGTGCATTCATTATTTTGTAGCTTTTCCTCAGCAGTAGCTTCAAGATAACTCAGTATTCCACTAAACGAAACATCCATTCCTTTGACAACATAGGGAAGGTCTATAAACTTTTCTCCTTTCTTCGCAAGCTGATGAAGGGGGGAAAAATAAAAAAGCAAATCAAGGAGAAAACATTTATTTATTGCGTCATTTCAAGAACATTCTGTTTGTGAAAAAATAGCACATAACAGCCTGACAGGAGCTAAAGGCTATCTAAAAAAATTTAGAATATCTCCAAAACGAAAAATAAGCATAAAATAGCAAACCAAAATCCCAGAGAGAACCTTCATAAATGAGAGCTGTAATGAATCTCAAAGACATAATCTCAACTTACCCAAAAAATCTAAAACTACACATCAATCATGTAATATCAATGCAGTGCTTTGCTAAAATATAGAAAAACAAAAACAGAGAGATGAAGATATAATAAAAGACCGTAGTTAAACACATTTTTAAAATATGATAATAAGAACAAATCAAATAAGATGAAGGTAGACTAAATATATAGGAGAAACATCCAAAAAAAGACAGATAAAGCTTCTATAACAATTAATTGAACCTTGCACTAATTCACCAATATCTACTGCTCGCTGACCAAACTCACAATAGAACAAGAAGCACAAAAGTTGAATTGTATATAAAATCTATATAACAAGGAAGCTCTATTTTATTTTTTACGGGACTTTTGTCTATTTGTCAAAATATGCACCATCAAATTGATTCAATCCAATGGTTGAGTTTGAAAACAAGGCAGAGTTTGAAAATATTGTACAAGAACATTTCAATGGTTGACATCAATGTGTTATTCACTTTGGATGGTGCAAATTTAGCCCTTTCATCTACCACTAACTCTCTCACATCTCAAACACGCCTGAGATTAAAAATAAACGCCTCAGAGAAATCCTCCCTCTTTCACCTTAATCATCAGTTTCTCAATGCTCAATAGGTTAGCTCTCATGACTACATTTGTTTCTTCAATATGACTATATTTGTTCATTCCTCATGATATTCTACTTCAGCCCAAAATTTAAGAAATTAGGATACTTTGTCAGTGCTGAATTTATCTGTGAATAGAATCAATACTTTGTTTAACAAAGAAACCTTCTATTTGTTAGTCTACTTTCAAATTCTATTTTTTTCATAGTGTAATGATTTAACTATGTTTATTGTGGAATCTAATCTCTTTTTATTCTTGGTATTATTGATTCGTAGGTTATTGATATTGACATGAATAGTGCATCTCTAGCTTAAATTTTATATTATTGATATTGACAGGTTTAGAATTTTATATTATTATGTGTGATTTTGATTGATCGCTTGAATTAGATGATTTGATTCTTGGTCCAAAGAAACTAACAAAATGCATAGGAAAACAATATGCAACCTTTGTTTTTTCCCTCAATATTTAATGTATATTTGCAATCTCATCATACACCACCAGTTCAGCCCACAAGTGTTTGGATTTTGTTTAGGCTGAAGATTCATAATGGAATGATTCCCACTCACTCCCACTACCCCCTATCTCAGTTAAAATTTTGGTTTTGTTTAATTGGTACAAATGTATTCAATTTCCATGGAATTCAAAAATTTAACAATGTAAGCAAGACGGTAAATTCAATAAACCAAATGTAAATTCAATATCTATAAAATTTTGGTTTATTGAGTTATTGATATTGTTTAATTGGTATGAGTTATTGATATAAAAGGTAAATTCATGAGTTAATTTGTTTTAGACTTGTAGAAGTTGAATCGGAGTTTTTATTTACTAAGATTCAAATTCATGGCTTCTTTGTGTTAATGATAGATATTTGAATTTTTTTTTTTTCTTTAGTTAATTGGTTTTGAATTTCATAACTTAATTATTTGGATTTGTAGTATCATCCTGTTCAATCTTTGATTAATCTCATTAACAAAAGTCTTCTTATTTACATAGAATCCTCTAATTAGTTGTTTATAATTTCATCATTATCTGTTGGTTTGACAGAGAAGCCTTCTATTTGTTAGTCTACTTTCAAATTCTATTTTTTTCATAGTGTAATGATTTACCTATGTTTATTGCGGAATCTAATCTCTTTTTATTCTTGGTATTATATATTTTTTTTTGAATAACAAAATTTTTACTTTTGGAGCAAAAAAAGTTTGGCTCTTAAAACTCTTATTTGTTGTAGTGATTTCTCCACCATATCCTTAGTTTTAAGCCTATCTAATTATTTTGCCTCTATTATTGGTTAAGCACACCACCAACGTGAAATTCCCAACAGATAGGATAATTACTACCGATTAAACCACTTTGTACTCCATGTTGTACTATATTCAATCACATTCTTTGTAATTTCTTTTAACTTTCAAAATTTCAAGATCATGCCACATATCCTGCAAATATAATAATAACAATAATAATAATAATAATGATTTATAGTACCAACAGTAGTAGTATTGATTCGAAACTCTCCCATTTGAATTATTTATCAATTGAACTAGGTCTTTAAGTAAGCATTAAGGCATATCCAAAATTACAAACCATATCAGGTTTTAGAGGTGCCCATCACTTTTGGTAGATTGTTTATGTTTTTTTGACAACAACACACACACATGCACGTACATTATTATAATAGAGAAAAGTGCAAAGAGAAAGTTTCACTTCTATATCTCATTCTGTAAAAAATTTATGCATTATGCAAAGTTGTATAGCCAACATTAGCACATTGGCAAGGTATATATGCCACTTGAAGATCCACAGAAGAAGTGTAATCTTTGCTTGTTGGTTGATATTTTCTTTTGAATTCTTCATCTACATTGTAATATTTACCAAGTAAGATCTTAAATGCCATGACTATTGTATTCCAATTTTTTTTTGAATTCTAGTAAAATCTTTTCCCATATATTTACGATTGGAGATATAATCGGAGGTATATGGCCTACAAATTATGGTTACTTCTAAAAAGTAGTTGTATTATAGTACCCGTATCCGCTACTCGCCTCCGTATCGGATACTTTATGTTAATTTTGCGAAGTACTAGATATTTTAAGACACTCTAGGTCACATATCCAAACTATTATGAAATTAAAATTGTAATAATTTTTACATATGATGGTTGAAATAAATACAAGAATAGTTTTATAACATTTTCTTATTTCTTATTGAAGAAGAATATAGTTTTCTACTTTTTGAGATTTTATCACATTAATTTATCTATTAAAAAAACAAAAAGTGACCACTATTAGCTCTTAAACTAATGTCTAATTCTGAAATAATGGTTTCACAATATTCTTTGAACTCGTGTGTATTATAATCTTAAACATATATTTTTGTTTCAACATGTCTGGACCATACCTGAATCTTAATTTTCTAGATTTTGTCGTGTCGTTGTATTAGTATTGTATGGTATCCATATTTATGTTTCATATAAGAAACCTCCCTCCTCAAGTCGACGGACTCGTATAAGCCCTAATAACCTCAAATTATATAAGACCCACAAGCATTACCAAGCCAAACGACAAGTTTTACATGAATAGCCCAACCAATCACCATATTTTTAACATATACACATCCGATCTTTAGGGTTTCACATTCAATGCTGTGCCATGAATTAATGAGAAAGACAAAAACAAAATTCCAGAATTTGCTATGTATCTTCAATCCATCTACAAAGAAACTTTCTTTCAAAGACACCATCTATGTCAATTGAGTACGAGAGGTGGAAATTTTCCGGGAATATATTTTCCTCAGAAACAAACAGACCTTGAATTAAAAAATCAGCTACCTTGCAATGAATTGAATCAATAAAAGAAAGAAACTTACTCAAAATTCGTAGCGATTTGGATGATCTACCTCTTAAGATCACAAAGAACAGGGAGGGATTGTGAGAACGAGAGAGAGAGAGATATGCACTGGTTGGTTGGTTCAACTCGCCGATTATATGGACGCAACACGAGTGAGGGTGAATTGCCTAGATGTGATTTCACTTTACTAATTTTGGTCACACATTTTTTATTATTTATTAGAGCTTGGCTGTTTAGTTCGAATTTGAGCTGTCCTTGAATGGTTCGAATTTCATTTTGACGGTCATTTAGCTAGTCATTTAGTCGGTTGTTTGACAGGTCATTCGGTGAAAAGGCTGATAGTCACAATTGATAAAGTAACAACCGCGATAAAAAAGTATTTTACTTGGTCGTTTGAGTAATCGTCCGGCTAGTCAACCAGTAATCAGTGATTTTACCCATTCGAAACAACTCAATTCAAGTTACGAAAGATTTTCCTTTGTTATGTACACTTTGATAATGTTTTTTTATTTGAGTTTTTTCTTTAATTTTTCTGTAATTTCCCACGAGGTGTCCTGCCAGTTTAACGTGCACTTCAACTAATATTCACTCGCAGTGAAGTTTGTCGCTGGCCACAAGATGTTATAATTGCCAAAATTTAAATTGAAAAGCAAACTCAGTCAAATTTCAAAATCTTACCTAACTATGGACAAATCACTAAGGCCTATTTTGGTAAGTGAGTTAAAAGTCACTTCCCAACTTTTAGGGTAATTCTATTTCCACACACTTATCTATCTCTGCACACAGATTTAATGATTTATTTTTTTATTACAACTTTGTCCTAAAATAAAATTACTAAAGTGTCCTTATCTTCTCCATCAAAACCCTAATTTCTTTATCTCCTCTCATCGTTCGAAGCTCAGAATCCATGGCAGCCACACTGATCTCCATCTCCCAACTCAGCTACACTAATGAAACCTATAGATGGAGGAAAATGAAATAGATATATAACTAAACAAACAGACCAGTAACCCTTCTACTTCACAACTTATCTTTGCCTCAAGCCAGTGCAGTTGTTCAGTTGTTCGCTCAAAGCTCTGTTTATCGTGAGTTGGTTCAACAAAATTGGCTTCCAAGACACCTAGTGCATGACAGATGTAGAAATGACATGAAATTGGTCAAGCAGCCCACATAAATAATGTGTTGAAATAAAGAAAATAATACCAGGAATACTCATTGCAATGCAGAAAACAACACTTACAGGGGAGAAGAAACAACACCTACAAATGAAAATTCTTTTCAAGACTAAAGTAGGGGAGAAGAAATAACACTTACAAATGGGTGTTGGTTTAGGGTTTCAAT